ACTAGTTTGATTGTAAGTCATTTACTTCTAATCAACAATCATTTGTGGATGGTGTCGAAAGTTGACAATGGTGCGCAAGGTGTTAAAAAACTTGTAATTAATTCAAATATTTCCATTTCATATTTGTGCTCAGATAGACCTCAACATATAGGAATTTTTTCTTTGATTTCTCTTTGGGGTAGCATTTTGATTTAAGCCTACTGTATGCCGAGCAGACTTCTCTGTACTCACAGTATTGACTTGTATTATTTGTTTTTTACATATATTCAGGAAAGATTTCAAAGTTGACAGCATATTAGAAAAAATAACTGCCAAAAGAAATGCGGAGATTGAAACAGAAAGGTTTGTATACTTAAGTTTCGAAATCTCACAAATTCTGCTAAAATTTTGTTTTGTTGTTACATTATTATAAGGAATCTATTAACTACGAACAAGCCTGATGAAAATTTTGAAAATGTTGAAATGGTAAAGGTGGGGGGTGAGGAGGTTGGTTAGAACTTTATACGCATATTTATTGCACATACTTCGTCATTGATGCTTTACATATATCCTTATCGTCATGGCAATACAAAAATTACTTTATTGTGGTGTGTCGATAAAGATCTTGCTCTGTGCGAGTTCCAAGCTATGTCAATTAAGTAAAGTGTTCAGAACAATGAAATCGTGTGTGAAAATAGAAATTAATTAAAATATTGAACAAGCAATTATATTAAAGAAGGCAAGACTCACAATCATAAATGTTTCTTTCGTAGACTTGATCACTTGCGTTTAATGTCTCTGAAAATGCTTGGTTTTCGTACGGGGAACTGGATCTTTATTTGTATCGTTAATGCTTTGTACACTTTTAGTGATTTTCGTGTCTCTTGGTTTCCAGCTTGAAAGCTGGTTATCTGAATATGAAATTTACAGGTTTTTTCTACAAAAAGAGTAACCTGAATGGTGATGCCAACAGACTGCCTTCCAGTGAGTCATGTTTGAATCAATATTATATGTTCTACTCAAAACAATTTAGGGAACACTGAAATACTTTCCTTTAAAGTAAGATTTATTTCAGAAAAACACTTGTGTTGTGGCCAAAATTAGTATGCAGAAATTATCACAGTGGAGCGACTTGTACTAAACTCAGGATTTTGTTACTAACAGAAAGCCCGCTGGCAATCCAGAGACTTACAACTCGATATAACACAAATTGTAAGAATGGCACAGAAACTTGCAATATGCCTATAATATAATATATACTGTACATAACAACAATTGAATTAAAAGTAGTTACTACCACGTTCGCACTCATGCCGTTGACACACTTTAGAATCCGTATTTTAAAACAATGTATGACAAGTCAGAATACTATCGAACTTGTGTAAAACGAAATTAAAAAAATATTGCATGGTTCAATTACAATGCTTGACAGATAAATGATTCAGAAATTACTCAGACAAGTGTTTTACTGCACAATGACAAAACTTCTGAAGGATGCATGTAGTGATTACTTAAAAAGAGACAGTTTCAATTGAGTTTATGGAACAATTCAATATTGGATGTGACCACCTCTTGTGATAACACATGCAATGCAATGTCACTTCATGGATGTCACTGGTCTCTGTCGTGATGTTCTGTTCATTGAGCTAACTGATGTAGATCCACATGGGGGAGGGGGTGATTGATGAGTCAGTCAATCAATCACGTAAATGTCGAACTGGTGACATGTCAGGTGGATAAGCAGGCCAATCTATTCAGGTGATGTTGTGTTGGCGTAGAAAATCCATGACATGTCTCGGCCTCAGATGATTTTGCTCAGTCTGGAAACTCACATTGGTACGAGTTACTGTTCTAGGGATTCTTTGTATGGCTTTGACAGTTACGATTCAGCTACAAAAGAGCTGAGACAAGAAGGTAGCAGTCCTCAGCGCTGTGAGAGTTGTGAATGACCTGACCCAGATCTGTCATGTTCTGTCATTTTTTCTAAAGCGCTTGGACAGTCTTTGAATAACAAGACTTCTAGTTTTCTTCCCACTTCCCACATGGTAACAACTTGGTTCAGCCAGACTATGGCTTTGGTTCTGTTGAATGTACACGTGGAAGCATACTTGCAAAATGTGTGGCAGCACCTTTATTGGGAGTATTCAGACTTATAAAATTAACTTTGACTTCCTGGCCATTTCTACATTATATTATATTTCTGTAATGTGAAATTTTAATAATTGTATTTATTTTTGACTCCTGTGTGCTAAGCACAAAAGGGAGTCTTTGCAGTTACCCTGTCTGTATGTCTGTATATATGTATGTATGTCACTTTTTTTGTTCCACCGTTATCTCAAGAACCACTAATCAAATTTTGATGAAACTTGGTACATAGATGCTCTGGAATAATGCGCAGAGTTGATTAGGTTTTGGTAAAAATCTATGAATATTAATTACCTAATTTGCATGATAATTAGCTGATTTTTAGCTGTCCCAAGACTGTTCCACTGATATCTGAAGAACCACTCATTGGATTTTGATGAAATTTGGCACATGGATGCTCTGAACTAGTGCGCAGATTTGATTAGTTTTGGGTAAAAA